AAAAATGACTACCGTATTCAAAAATAAGGTATTTTTGTGTTAGAATTCTGAGTTTTGTATTTCATTTTAATTTAAAATACCTGACAAGGGGACTACACTGATTTTCATAAATATTCTATAAATCAAATTGATATAAAATAGAAATTTAAACTTATTTCAATTTGTTTGCTATTTTTAAGTCGAGAAAAATAACTTTAAAATTTGAACTAGCTTAAATAGCCATTTTTTTCAAGCGGCGGTAGCGACGTACAGTTGCCGAGTCGGTAAAATTTTTGTTTTACGCGCTTGGGGTACAAGGTTCCAATCCGCATATAGCAATGAATTTTTTCTTAATTCTTTTTAAATTAGAATAAATTTCAACTGCTTTGATTTTTATCTCATTTAGATTTAATAACTTCAATAAAGATCAAGGATTCCATCACTGTAGTCGCCACTCGCTAGAAGAAATTTTTTATTTATATTAAAATTATTTTACTATATTTTAAGTTTTAGCTTCGATGCAAAGCTGAGACGATATTTTTTTGTGACTATCATTTATTTTCTCTGCTCTAACTTGACCCACTTTTTTCAACGATACGTCAAATGACTACAATTCGTATCTAGTTGAAGATATTACCCTCAAAAATTGAAAAAAAATTCTAATCTATCAATTAAACACTTACTTATCCCATGTTCTCCGTTTGTAATATTTCATTTGTAATGTTTTCAAAGTATTTATTGACGAATTAAGTTTGATATGATAGGTTTCAACCAGAGGCGGAACTACATATGTGTAAAGGCGGGATTTTCCGCGGGCCTCGTTGTTAAAGGGGCCTCATAGCGAAATTTTTAATTATTTATCTTATTTAATAAAAAAATTAGTTCATTGTATTAATCATAGAAATATTAGATGCAATGCATTTTGTAACATTTCAAGTAAACAAAAACATGAGATATTGAAATATTATTATTCTAATATTCACCACGAAAACGAACCGATAAGGGTATAGACTATAGTATATTNTATTATAAACATTCAACTTTAAGCGATTAAAAAAATAGGTTAAATATGTAATTTTCCTTATTTTTAACATATTAATAATGAAAATCAGTATTAATTTAAAACAATTTTTTTTGTTCTTTATTATTTTTTTTTATATGTAAATACTATTTTTTAATAATAATAATTTTATATATGTTTAAATAACGCAGTATTTCCGGAACACTTTCAAAAGTTAAATTGAAAAAGTTCTATTTTTTATACAATATTTCAAGTTTTGAACGCCCCCTATATATGGGGAAATTGTTCAATTTTAATAAAAAGTATGTCAAATAAGAGATGTACTTATAATGTATTTAGAAGAAAAAAAAATTTGTGGTGATAATTACATTTTTCGAAAAGTTATAGCACTTTTAAGTTTAAAATTTAAAATCGAAAATTTTAACACAAAATTAGCGTTTTTTTAACTACGGCAGCAGTTAACATGCATAAGATAAAGTGTCGTGACAAATTTTTTTTATTCATTTTATAGTACATAAAATAAGCTTTAATTTGATATATGTTTAAAGGACGCAGTATTTCCGGAACACTTTCAAAAATTCATTTGAAAAAGTTAGTTTTTGTAAAAAAGTTACTATTCTAAATCGCCCCTGTGAGCAGGTTAAATGTTAAATTTTCAAAAAAATGATATCAAATGAAAGGTAGATATCTAAGGTTTTAGTATAAAAAAAAATTATGTTGATTTGTTGATTTTTCAAAAAATTATGGAAGTTTTAAGAAAAAAAAGTGAAAAAATTTCAAATCCTCCCCAAGGTTAAGTGTTAGATTTTCAACAAAAATATATAAAATGATAGGTAAATATCTAAGGTAACTATAAAAAAAAAAAAATTCAGCACAGGGGGGTCGTGGCATAGTTGGATCAAGTATAATGATATCTGACAGTGATTAAAATCACTATAAAAAAAAAACGCTTCGATGCAAATCTTTAGATAGTGTTTAATTTAAAAAAATTGGTGGATTATTCCAAAAGCT